ACTCAGTTTAATGTCTCACGCTTTTCCACTGATCCATCCAAGAGATCCTTTGAATCTAACTCAAGGGTCGAAATCATAAGGGTCCCGCAGACCCGATGCCCGTATTTTAAGGCTCGGGCCTGACATTTCTAATACTAGCATTGCAAGCCCGACAGCCCGTAGAAAATTCCACCCCCCCCCAAGCATGCAAAACCGTCTCCGGCACGCCAGCGAGGATGAAAAGATACCACACTGCAGTGTCGCTCACTTGTGTCAAGTTGTGCACAACAGCGACCCGGGTCCTGCGTGTAAACTCCGCTTTGAAGCATGGTGATTCTAATCGTTCCCAGCGGTCATCTGCACTAATGAGGGGGTCCAATTAACTCATTTCCGGCCACATTTACATCGAAATCAGCCTGGCTTTTCCTATCATATCTTCGCTAAATAAACACTGAGACAGCACAAAGATTTGCTCCGTTTTCTATTTGCAATGCGGGCCCGATATAGGCTGAATTTTCATTGGCTAAAACTGGGTGCATGCACCAGGCCCCGATCATGATGCGGGCCTGTAATTTGCCTGGCGGGCCTGTAATTTGCCTGGCGGGCCTGTAATTTGCCTGGCGGGCCTGTAATTTGCCTGGCGGGCCTGTAAAATCCCTAACATACAGGCCTGGCTAAGCTGTAAATTTTCAAACTTCTTGGAAGTCTCAATAAAAACAATAATGGTAAATAAATACGAAATGTATTTACTACCAGTCTTAATGTTTCTCTACTCTATTTCCCCTATTCTTGTCGATAACTTGCTGTAAATGCCGTTCAAATGCTCATCTGCAACACATGAGTACACCGCACGCCCGCCCTGTGCACAAACAACTAAAATAAAAAAATAAAAAAAATTTAAGAGTTGTAAGACTTTGGTAGTAAATACTTTTCGTGTTTATTTACCTTTTTTATTTTATTGAGACGTTCCAAGTGCCTGTGACTTACTACTTAGTTAGTTAGTACTTATGACGAAAGCAATTCTTCTAAAGGAGAATTCGGTGTTTCCTCATAAAAACCACAGACATATCTATGTTCCTTGATCCTTGATCGAAGCTTCTTAGAGCTGTATTGGCCTCTTGTATGTACATAGCACTTGTATGGCAATGTTTCATAGTAATGCTGAGGTCTATGTTCCCCAGGGTACTGCCGGAACGTACCCTGAGTACGGTCCGGTATACCGGAACATACCCTGGTACTATCTAATATGCCGAACCGTACCTCGCCTACTCCACTAACGAGTCTATAGGGAGTCACCTACGCCTACTCCCTAACCATATAACCCTTAATCCTATACCCTAACAGGGTTCTCCCCAGGATGAAATTCAAACAGGGGGAGGGGAGAGGAAGG